AAAACGAAGTCTTTTGTGAGCTCCTTCACTTAAAGCCTTTATTTAAAAAAAGAGTTTAATAAAAAAAAAACATTTATAAAAAACAAAATTTAAAAAAAAAGAACAAAAAAAAACTTTTAAAATGTGTATACCAGTAAAAAATGACATTTTATGTTTAACAAATGATCAAACAGACCTCTTTGACCAGATGCAATAAAGCTGTGGATGATTGAGAACCAGATGCTACTAATAAAACCTAATAAATAAGATCTATTAATAATAATAATAATAATAATAATAATAATACATATTATCAAAATTAATATTTTTTACAAACAAAAAATTAAAAATGAAGTATAATAAAAATAAATTAAAACAAAATTGAAAGATATTATAAGCTTGTTAAAGACTCAAATGAAGACATCCTAATTGTTGTAGACCAAAAATAATGATAATCATACTATTAGCATACAACTTGTATTAGAAGTTGTATGCTAATTGTAAGATTATCATTATATATGTCAAATATACGGTAACACAATCATATATATATATATATATATATATATATATATATATATATATATATATATATATATATATATATATATATATATATATATATATAATGAGAAAAAAACATATTTACACATATGATGACATATGATGACAACATATGATGATTGCATTTAGCATGAAATTTATAGTAGTGAAAAATATGTAGTTTTATTTATAAAAAATAAATATTAATACAGCTCTTAAGTTTAAATTAAGTTTAAACAGAGGTACAGTGTGGTTTGAAAAGTATTTGTTAGTTGATACTTTACGGGTTCTTACCTCAATAGAACTTTATGTTAATGCAACGTTTTATTCCAAATATCCAATATTAAATACATTGACTAATCCAGGAATATTTTGTGGTGGGGATGTTGAAAAAAAATTTTATTTTGTATCACTTTTCCGTCTCTTAAATCCTCTATTTTAAAGATATTTTAGAATTTTCAGATATGATGATGCATACCCCCATTCCGCCTCTAAAATTGTTTAGGTAAATTATCCAGAAAAAAACCAGAATATAATTTCCCTTGTTTTTAATTTTGCTTTTAGCTGAGTTTTTTCAAACTTTTTTTTCAAACTTTTCTTTATTTTTCTACAAGTGATGAGTGAAAAAGCTTAAAAAACAAATATATTACAAAAAATATAACTAAACTTGTATGTATGGATAATATTTTGGATATTTAGAAAAACTAAAAATTAAAAAAAATATCCGGAATTCCGGATATTTTTTTTAATTAGAAATATAATTTTATTTAATTAAGAAATATCTGGAATTCCGGAAATTTTCGGAATTCCGGAAATATCCGAAAAAAGATAATTCCTGAAGATTTCATATCAATTTTTATTCTTAAGTAGATCACAAAAAATTTTACTTAAAATTAAATTTAATTAATGTATTTTACTTGCAAACTAAATTATTAGCCACTTTATCAAAATTTTGATGTCAAAGAGTAAATCTAAAACCACCTCGTACAGTGTGGTTGGTTTGTGTTATCTTGTATGTTCTGAGTAATAGTACTACTAGGGTACTAAATTAAAGGTGGTGAAATTTTGGTACTTGTAGTTCCTTTATTAGAAGAAAGTAAGTCATTAGTAGCAGATGAGGAAAGGTTACCAGTTAAATTTTGCTGCTAAATTTAGTGGTTTCATGATGGTAAAGTTTAGTCTTTCGCATTGACCATTCCCTTATGATTAATTTGTTGTTTTTCGAGTCATGTAGACACAGTTGCTTGTAAGAAAGCTTTTTTTCTTCCTTTAAACTGTGTACCTCGATCAGAGTGTATGCAACCAGATTAACCAAAAAACCAGGGGTACAGAAGATAAATAATATTTTTAAAAGTTATTTTATTAGAGTGTTAGAGGTAATTTGGAAGCAAGAGAATGCAAATGGTTATCTAGAATACTTATCAATTATGACTAGAACTTATTTGCCGCCTTTAATGGAAGAGGGACAACAAAGTCCAAAGCAAATTTTTCCTGTGGTCTAGTAGAAGAGATAAGTTGAGCTGATGGGGGTTGAAAAAATTTTGGTTTAAGCTAAATAGTTACATAAAAAAGAGGGTAACTTGTAATACAACTTTGTTAAGGAAGAAAATTTTAGTTATTGAGTCATGAGAACTAGTCAGTAGAGATTAGTAGATTAGTAGATTAGTTAGATGTAACTGTGACTTACGTTACAGTTAGATAGTCAGTTATGATACAGTTAGATGAGTTAGATTAGTCAGTTATGATACAGTTAGATGAGTTAGATTAGTCAGTTATGATACAGTTAGATGAGTTAGATTAGTCAGTTATGATACAGTTAGATGAGTTAGATTAGTCAGTTATGATACAGTTAGATAAGTTAGATTAGTCAGTTATGATACAGTTAGATGAGTTAGATTAGTCAGTTATGATACAGTTAGATGAGTTAGATTAGTCAGATTAGTAAACAAATAAAAACAATATAATAACAGTAGAGTAGTTAGATTAGTCAGTTATGATACAGTTAGATGAGTTAGATTAGTCAGTTATGATACAGTTAGATAAGTTAGATTAGTCAGTTATGATACAGTTAGATGAGTTAGATTAGTCAGTTATGATACAGTTAGATGAGTTAGATTAGTCAGATTAGTAAACAAATAAAAACAATATAATAACAGTAGAGTAGTTAGATTAGTCAGTTATGATACAGTTAGATGAGCACAGTTATGGGATTTCTATTTCACATAATATGCAAAGAAACCTATCAAGCTGTTTAACTGTTTAATGTCGGTTGGAATAGGATATTTTTGTAAAACCTGGAACCTTTGGAGATCTGATTTTAAGATTTTATTTTCTGTTAGGTGTCTAAGAAAACACAGTGAGGTTGGAACTTTTATGTGCTTATTTTCACTCTAAAGCCAATTATTGCTACTTTAAATGCTGTGAGGGTTTCTTTATGTTCATCTTGATTGGATACACGCATAACAATATCTAGATAAGGGTAGTTTTTTTTTAAATTTCCATTCTGAGATAAAGTCATTCATGATGCATTACAAAATAAGCATTTACAACAGAATGGAAGTTTTTAAAACTCGTACAATTTTCCATTTGCTTCAAGCAGTAAGAGAATAAACTTTGTAGAGAAGTATGTATGTTTACAGTGTTGTAGAAACCAATTACTAAACAAGTTTTTTTTAATAGGTTTGTAACAAAGCATTGAGTTCTCCTGGGATTTGACTAAATTAAGCAACATTATCTTCTCAGAGGTAAGTAATTTCATTATTAAGTCTGCATTTGGATTTTCTTGTTGTAAAGGTGTTGCTATCAGAGTAATTTGAGACGTGTCAATTCAAGGAATAAGTTCATATAATTTATATACCATTGAAGATAGGGTAAATATATGGTAAAAATTGGTTTGATTTGTATTTTTCTGCAAAATGAACTTTAGAAGCTGAATTTTTATTTAAAAATGTCGATAGCAATTATAAGAGAGATTTCCTATTATTAAGATACCATCATACCAATGACTTAGGCTGGTGAATTATCTACAAGAAGAATTGATCTTTTGATATTTGTGTTGAAATCAATGTTTCTACCAGACATAAACTTTAGAGAAATAAATGATAGGTCAGAGCCTGAGTTGATAAGGGTTGACACTAGTATCCAATTAATTGTTGTATTTATAAGACCCAATTTTTGATATATAGAGGCTAAATTTGTATTTGCCAGCTTATTAGATAAAAAAGAAATATGAGACAGAAAAATTATTTTTATATCTAAAGAGTTTAGTTTTTATTCACCATCTGACATCACCAAAATTCCCAATTGCATTTTCAAGATATTGGGAATTTATGTGATGTCGGATGGCAAATAAAAACTGACATGCGAATAAAAGTTTAAAACAGGTCATGCTTTGCACCTAAAGTTTCCTAACTCATTTTATACAAAATTAGGATTTCTCATTTAAAAAATTTTTTACATAAATAAATATCTTTGAAATGATTTTTTTGGTGGGTTATATTCTTACCTGGAATAAAAGATATTTTTATATTTTATAAATGTTGAGTCATAAATTTTCAACTTGTTTCATTCTGAGCCATCTTGAACTTTTTCATATTTATATCTCTTCTTTGTGTGGAGAGCAAGGAGAAAACAAGACTTTAATATGAAATTAAAGGCTTTAAAATGTCACCAGCAATAAGAAATTAACATTAAACCGATAACTTTTAGATAAGAAACTTGCTTTGCTTGCAAATTTGGGTCAAATAGAATATTAATTAAAAGAACTTTTGTTTCAATATGCTATTTCAGAAACTAATTTAAATAAGCAACAACAGCATTTAGGGGGGCAGAGAGAGATTCCTTCATCACGTGAGGCAGCAAGTAAATTTTAGTGGAAAATTTTAAAATATCTAGTAAACTCTGTATTTGTAAATTTTTAAAAAATTAATTTTTTTATGTGTAAATTAAACTCTTGCATTTGCAAATAAGATTTATAAATAAACTTTAAAAATTTATGTAAATATGATTATCTTCTTTTTGTTTTACGCAAATATAACATAAATGATATGTTTCATTGCAAGTTTTATTTTTGATTTCTTTGTAATTGTTGCTTTGCAGTGTACTTTACCAGCAAATTTAATTAACTTACAGTATTTTTAATTCCATAAGTAAAAAAACTTTAATAGCTTATTTTTAAGTAGATTATTTTTATTTTTTATTATTTATTATTATGCAAATTTTGTTACTTTCCTAACTTAAAATAAAGAACAGTAAAAATGTAAATAAAAAGTTTTTGAATGTTAAGAGTAAACAAATAAAAACAATATAATAAACATTTTGAAAAATCTAAACTAAAAAATAACTGACATCAATTAAAAAAAAAAAGTTTTTTTTTTTAACTTTGGAATGAGTGATTTTGCTTGTTAATAATAACACTTTTTTTACATTGAAAAAAAAAAACTTTTGTTCTTGATCCATTTAAATAATCTCTTAGTCGCACGTGCTAACTACGTTTTCTGTGTGTCTAGCGTAACACTTTAATCTGAGCCTGATAAAGATTTTACTATGATTGTTTAAACTTTTGGGAATTTTAAACCAATTGGGAATTCGGGGTTATATGCAACACCATCAGGCTGGTTAACACTTTGTATAAGTCAGTAATCAAATGTTGCCAACATTATTTTCAAAATTAGTATTTATTTAAAGATATTATTTTTAGCTTTTACTCATCTAAGAGCCTTAAAGCAGAGATATTTGAAATTTAAGTTAACCTTTTTTAGTATTTGCTAAGAAAAGTGAGTCTTACAAGACAACATGACATGTGGCAAGTAGTACTCAATTACATGTTAAAAGTAACAGAGTGATCATGATCCTGATTCTACATGATACAACAAAAAATAAATATACAAATAACAAAACAACAATTTAAAAAAAACTGTGTTATTAAAGTATATCTTGATATTAATTTCAACTTTGAAAATAAAATATGTTAAAATATGTAAAAAATATTGTATATGAATATGAAAAATTACAAACACGATCATTAGCTTTAACCAATTTTGATTTTCCAAGTGTTGATCGAAACTTGTGTGTAGTGTATGTCAATAGACAGGATCTAAACAATTTATGCTATAATACTTACAAATGCTAAACCAATTCCTTATTTATGTCGAATATGACATATGCAAATAGATGGAAAAAACACATTATACCTGCATAAAGAATCATTTACACGTACAATAGCAGCAGCCTTCTGAACTTTACACTTCATGCATAAAGTACCTGGCCTAATAAATGTATAAATAGTTATTTAACAAAAAAAAACTTTTAATTCAATAAAGTAGCAAAAAAGATATCAACATAAGAAACATACAAAATCTTCTTTTTATAAATCATTTCAGTTTCCACATTGTGATTATCTGAATTGATGTCACACATAATGTACTAAATTTAATCATATTAATATATATACATATATACATATATATATATATATATATATATATATATATATATATATATATATATATATATATATATATATATATATATATATATATATATATATATATACATATATATATATATATATATACATATATATATATATATATATATATATATATATATATATATATATATATATATATGTATATATATATATATATATATATATATATATATATATATATATATATATATATATATATATATATATATATATATATATATATATATATATATATTAGGTCAGCATTGCCAAATGCCGACCCTAATTCAGAGAGATGATATATATAATTTATTTTGATGCAGCCTAATCTTTTGCAAAACCTAGTACCTGTCTAAATTTTGCTAAAAATGGCAGTATTGAAAAACTCAAAAATCTGTGAAAATAGGTGAAACCAAACCAGTGAAAAAATCCAGTTTATGGGTATTTCTTGAAACAAATCTTGTTTTTAAAAAAAAGAAGAAATTTAGACAGTTTAAGATATTACACAATCATTAAATTTGATATTTAATGTCAACATTTAATGTATGACACGTATAGATGTTTCACAGGCCTTAATCAATGGCAGAAAAACATTTGTATATTGAACAAAAAACAGCTGCTACAACCAGCAAATCCGATAGTTACTTCTGTTTACAAATATCTATATAAATACAGATATTTTTTACTATAATATGTTTCTACTATTGTTAAAAATAACTGTTGCTATTAATAAATCTACCCTTGCTCATGATACTGTTAATCTTAAGATATTTTTAAAGTTCTATAAACGGTTTATGGCGGAAGAGTATTTCAGGCACCCTTCTTTATTAAGCCTGTTAAGAAGTCTTATACGAAACGAATACTGTGGAAAACCATACCCTAACCAAACCCTAACCCTGACCTTTAGGGTTAGGCTCAGGGTTTGGCCTAGGATCTTGGTTAGGGTATGGCTTTCAATAAAGTAAATTTTATCGTTGGGTTCAAGGTTATGGTTTTTAGCAAATGTTTTGCGTACGTGCTAGTGACTTGTTTTTTACGGACTTAATTATTATTATCATTATTATTCAGTGATAAAAAAAAAATCAAAAATACAATAAATCTGTTTAAAGTTTGATGAAGAGGTGCTACACCAGGCCCCTCTATGCTGACGAAAATAAAAAAACACAGAAGCTACAGACAAAGCAGCAATTGTGTCTCTAAAAGTTACTTTGTTATACTGTTTTTGAAAGCATGGATAGATGGAGCGTTCACTACTGCCTGGGAAAGCCACTGATCTCTATAATAACTGGATAGCGCATCTCCTAATAAAATTTCGAAATTTTTGAAGCCAAAAGACGCCATATTGGAAAGCCCCAGAATTTATAAATCTGTAGTTGCGTTAAACTTGTATGCGCTTAAAACAGATTTCGCTTGATAAATAAAAAATGCAAAAACCTTATAAATACATTGATTATTAAAAACCGAGTAAATCTGATGATATATGTTCAGATTATTTCATGGAGAGTGACATAAATATATATATATATATATATATATATATATATATATATATATATATATATATATATATATATATATATATATATATATATATATATATATATATATATATATATATATATATAATATATATATATATATATATATATATATATATATATATAAATTATGTATTCAGGGTGGCCAGCCACTTTCAAGAATTAATTCTTTCAAGAATTAAATTCCCTGACTTTTTATATTTTTCCCTGACTCAGTTATATTTTGAAGTGTGAACTTTTAAGTTTTGTTGTTTGGGAGTAAGTAAAAAAAAACCTTAAAAAAAAATTAAATTTTCAAAAAAGAAATTTTTCCCTGATTTTCCTGACTAGAAAAAAATTCCCTGACTTTTCCATGATTTCCAGTTAGCTGGCCACCCTGGTATAATATTATTATAATAGCATGCAAGTGTATATTAGTATGCACCTTTTGATTCTTAATTGCCCTCTGCAAAATGCCTGAGGCTTGTAACATATTTGCAAGGTAAACAGCTTACAAGTTTGCTGTATGAATCATTAGTTGGGCAATGTGATTGTAACACAACCTAAAGGTTCCTTAGGCAACATATAGCAAATCTTTATATTTACCTTTAATAATTTTGTTCTTGCGTATATATATATATATATATATATATATATATATATATATATATATATATATATATATATATATATATATATATATAAATTAACTTAACGCTTAACTGTCGAAAAATACTTTCAAGACATTTTTGTAAATGCCATAAGACATTTTCACAACACCAGAACATTTGTATAAGATATTGCAATTACAAAAGAATATGTTAAAGTAAAAAAATATAAATAAAATAATAGTTAGCTCTATCATCTTGAACAAAATAATCATTGAATAACTTGTATAAGCATTGAATAACAAAATAAACATTGAATAAAAAGGTATTATGTGGTAGGGAAAAGTAAAAAAGTATGTACACTTAAAAAAAAAATTGTTTACCTTTCATTTTGGTCTTTTATGTTGCTTATTTGTTTTCACAAGAGATATTTTAAATATTTATTAATTATACAACTAATATTTATCAGTATAAAACTGATAGATGTTAGCTGAATCATTATTATTTTACTTTAGAGTCAATAGTTGTAAAGAAACTTGAAAGAAACCATGTCTGTTTTGATTTATACCATATTTACATATAAACAATCAACATGTATGTGATGCTGTTATTTAGTCTAAAACACTAAATACTTTAATGTAAAACTGCAAATAACTAGTTATCACCAAATATCCAGAGTTTTTTAAAGTTAGAGATGGCTTTTTCAAACCTTCACAAAGTGTAATTAAAGTTAGCAAAGCAACAGAACAAAACATTGTTATTAAGTGATATCAATTTTAATAAAGTATTGCATAGTTGATGATATTTCAGTTGTGGAACAATATAAACATGCCCTCAGAGTTTCAAAAATTAGAAAACCATTTACAAAAATGTTTGATACAATGTTTTTATCATGTTTCATACTTGTAATGTTACTTTCCAGCTACTATTGCTAAGTAAGGTCGCATCAAGATGTTAAAATAAACACCCAAAAGTAACCAGATCAAATATCAATTTGTCTTTTAGAAAAGTTTTATTTAGAATATCATGAATTCAATAAATTTAACAAGTTCATAGAAAGCAATACAAATTTTATTATTTCTTTATAGCGATATTTCTCTTCGTCGTTAATGTTTTGCGTGTTTTTGATTCCCTTTTATAATTTTTACACCTTTAAACATTTTAAATATAATAATATCATTGAAATATGTGACTTGGTCGAGTAGATATAAACGAAGTAAAAAGGTACATCTTCAAGGGCAATCACTGTATTTTCGGTATTCTGGGGCTTTCCAATATGGCGGCCGTACAAAATATTGGCTTCACTTTTGATATTAGAGATGCGCTATCCAGTTATTATAGAGATCAGTGGGGAAAGCTCATTCCATGGGACAACAACTTTTTTTTTTTTTTTTTTTTTTTTTTTTTTTTTTTTTTTTTTTTACATTTATTTTGCTGTTTAACAAATATAATCAACACATATATATACAAGAAAGAAAGAAATATGTCCGTATAACAAAGAAGACAGTAAAATCTTGTCAACAAGCACCGTTTTTGTATATACAGTATATAAAATAAACTATTTTTTTTTACAATGATCTTTATAAAATAAAGAGTTAAACAGGCAGGGGCTCAAAGAAGATGAAGATGACAAAACGTCATCGCAATCTTTTCATAGATCCCCCTATATACATTTTCATTAGGTTATGGATATTAAATTAAATTAAAAACCCTAATGGGCATAAAACTGCTGCGCTGATCAATAAAAACAAATAAATAAGATTATGAAGAAAATTACTTTGTAATCCTTTTAAGCACAAATAAAAATCAAATTTTAAAAATTTCTTTTTTTATTAGAAACTTAAATGAACTTAATGACTTTGCCATACATTTGGATCCTTTTTGATATCTATTCCATACTCTATTTGAAAAAAAATTTTGTCGTTCTTCACAATTTTGTACAAACTGGCGTTTTATTTTTTGATTACACCCTCTCAAAATATACTTGGCTTTACTGTTTGAAAGTTTTTGTAAAACAAAAAAACTGACAAGTTTGAGTTGACGCGTGATTTTAAATAGTTCGATTACATCTTCTTTTTTACGGCGTTCTTCAAGTGTTGTTAGATCGAACTGTTGGAGTCGGTTTGAAGACAGGTGTTTAATAGATGATATTGTTTTTGTTGCTCAATATTGGACTTTAAATGCCAGGCTTGAACAGCAAACTCGAGATAGGGGCGAATGTAAATAAGATACAATGTGCGCCATAAATAAAAACTGCGACTCCGAAATGTTTTTTTGAGTCGCACTAGCATTCTATTCACAATTAATGCAATTGATTCTATTTGTGGTCTGACTTTAAGGTCTTTAGAGACCATCACACCAAGGTCTTTAAGACGCAACCCTTGCGATGAACAAAGCCATGTTGCTTTGGAGTAATTGAGTCATTAGCAACACTAATTATTATGAATTAATTTATTAACTATTTTATAAACTAATTTATTATGAATAATTAAAAAAATAATAATGTAAAAAAACAAAAAAAGCATTAGGAAAAACTTAAAAAAAAGTAAATTTAACTTGTTAATAGTATTTATAACAATAATATAGTATTTCATGAAATTAATAATAAGGGTTCTCGATGACAAGACTTACACAGTTTTCTGCGAGTTTCCCCCTGACTACAAAATTTAAGCTAACGTATTTTTAACCGTTTCTTTTTCACAATACAGTTATTAATATTACTTTAACTTCCTTACCTCAAATATATCTCAAGTATTTTGATGTCTCTAGTTATATAAGAAGTATTTTTTTGAATATATTTGTTGTAATATATTATGTATTATAAAAACTTGTAAATACTATGAAGTCTTAAAAATATATGAATAAAAACAAAACAAAAAAACACAGTGTTTCCATTATACTTGTTTTAAGAATAAATTTTATTATTTTGCATGAAATGGATGTGAGCAAGATAGGCCGGTAGTTTGATGCATTTATTTTACTCCCCTTTTGAAAATAGGTGTTACATTCATTTTTCTTAACAATTCGGGGACTATACCAGTCGCGAACAAGCACTTATAGATAAGTTAAAGTGGCTTGTTGAAGCTAGCTACACATTTACTAAGGTCCCGTGAATGTAAACTATCGTAGGTGGTTGATTTTCTTTTATCAAAGTGGTAGAGCCACTTTTATACTACATCAATAGAAAAACTTGCTGGGTCGACAACACAAATTGCTTCACTACGACTTTCAAAAGCTGGCAATGGACCTTCGGGCTCCAAAACAAAAGCCGAATGAAAATAGTTATTCAATAATGAGCATATATTGCCGGTATTGATAGCGATGTTGCTATTAGCTGTTTCTAGCAAAGTAATAGTGTTCTTAACGCTATGTTTGCTTTGTACATATGCATGTAAGCGTTAAAGGTTGTTTTTGCACTCACTGGCGAGTTTTTCTTCGTAATTTTACCATTTTATTAATGTGTTTGCATGCGGTGCAATGTGATTCTTTGAGTAATTGGTGTGCATCGCGACCTGCATTAATGTACTTGGCCCTAGAGGCGCGTTTAGCTTTGACCGCCTTAATAAGATCTGGTGTTACCCAATACTCCTGTTTTTCAATGAAGGGAGTAGTTGTTGATGAGATGTATAGATTGATAGCTTCATTATACACGTTTACTAGGAGTTGGTAGCTGTTGCATTTAGACCAATAAATTTTGTTTTCCAATCAACAGCTGCAATGTGCGAGGATATTGCTGCATAGTTTGCTCGGCTTCAAATAAGTTGAGGTTGTAATGGCAAAGTAGGAAAGTTGTCAGGGCCTACAACAGCAAGTTGACCTTCAATGAAGCAGTTTGTCTGGCCCATTGTAGTGTTATCGAGAGAATCATCTAGTTCGATGAAGATGGCACGGTCTGGCTGGTTTGTTATGATCAGATCAAGTGTGTTTGAGGGCTCGACGTGTCAACTACTACAGTATGTTGGGAATGTGACAAGCTAAGTTAGGTGACATCCATCAAGCACTTTTGAAACCTAATATTGCCTTGACGCTCATCTCTCACGTGGACAACTGTTGCAATGCCACCGTTAACTTCGATAGACTCATAAGATGTATGGCTAAAATTGAAATCTATATATAGTAGCA